GGGGGGGGGGGGGGGGTCCATTTTATTGATTAATGAAATAACGAGAGGAGAATTAATTAGTGAGGTGAAAAACACCATCTGTTGCTCGTCGTTCACTGAACAAAACGATATATTTGAAATCAAAAGGGAAAGATGGTCAGAGGCATGTGATTGTCGACCTATTTCATCAACAAAGCAACGTATTATTAAGTGTTTATCATAGTTTTTTAAATTGCTATTGTCAGTATTTACTGGAATGAATTAATGTACGTGAGAAGAAGAACAAATGGACTCAGCAACGGCAACTCTCGCTGTTTTCGTGCGATTTAATTAAAAAATCTTGAACGAAATGAACGTTTTTTTTTATCATTACGCCCGCGGTAATGCTTGATAACGTTGAAAAATTTAACCGATAACATTCAACAAACACTCAAATCATTTAATAACGATAAGCTGCGATTGTCAGACCCACATAGATCTTGATCTTCACTGATTGATAATCTAGGCATGTGGAACAGCGTGAATTATCCCTTGGGGGAATACATTCTTTCCTTGGAATTTTACCAAACTAATAGATTATTATTATTATTATTATTATTATAATTACGCACCCAAAGCAGTTGAGAGCAATGAGAGAGAAAGAGAGAGAGAAAGAGAGAGAGAGAGAGAGACTCTTTGGTTTGATAAATGAATGAAAAGAAAAAGAAAAAGAAAAAGAAAAAAAAAGAAATTGTCACTCCTCTCACATCACATCTTTTGCATACCTTGTTCTTAGCCGGCATAATTGCCCTAGAAATTGGCGCGCAATGACGATCAGAAGCAGTTTTTCCTCGAAACACTCGACGATTAAAAAAAAAAAAATGTAATGTAACGCGCGTACAGCAGTCACTAATTTGTGGCTATTCCGCGTAACGAGCGTTATTAGAATGCGGCCAAGTATCAGAGACTCACTTATCACGGACGGACGTGCAGTACCATCCCGATGGGACTCCAACATGCCGCGCGGTGCCGCGCCGCCCCTCCTGCTCGCCTCATCACAGACTCATTTGTATTGTATATATATATATAATATATATAATATGATGACATATAGAATGTATACATATATTGATGTATATAATACAACTGTCCGGCGCCCGCATTACGCTTATATCTTTGTGTTCTCCTAACGTTATTCCATGGCACGCGCGCGTACACTGCCTCTAGGGAGGCATCATCCCAAGGATTATTAGTCACTCCAGGGGTCAGTACAGCTGAACATTATTACATTATTCAGAACAAAGAAACCATGGATGCTCTCTTTACTTGGCTTGGTGCACTGAGAGAATGACGAGCAACTCGTCAAAAACAAGTCGTGTTTGGATCGAGCAAAGAATAAATTGTTTCATTTTTTGAATTTTCATTCCAACCTCTCAAGCATGTTGTCATGTATATTTATACGAATACGATAAGTGCAACTTTTCAATGTTTATTAACCATTTTAATATCATTGACCACCACCTAGGGGTGGAAAAAATGTGAAAAAATTGAAAAATATGGAGAATTATGTGCATAATGTAATATTGGGGCAGTACGATCCCCTGGATTTTTATATATTTTCATAATATAAGGGCTATAAGGGATAGAGTTAAGTTTATCAATAAATAATTTGTCCTTTGATTTCACATGAAATAAACATTTTTCAGGAGCGAAATACATATGGAAGTATCAAATAACGAACAAGTAGGTGACTCGTCTTCAAATAATCAGTAATACATCTTTTTCATTTTTTTTCCCACAAACAAATTTTTCGTTTCTCTCAGTCAGTGTAATTATTGTTAATCCTGCATTCATTATTTTCCCAGTTCATTTTTCAGAGTTATCAACCGTCAATTATTATATATGAAAGGCCGCGTTGCGAGAGCGGTAAACGTGTTACGTATTTCCCTCGGTACGGTGTTTGCAAATTACATCGAGCGGGAGAAAGGTGCACGCCAGCTATTCAATGGGGTATAATATTAATGCATTACGTATACATATCCTTCGAGTAGTCGTCTATAGTATTGTACATTGTTTTTATTTTCAGAAATCTATCTCGACTTATTAGGTGTTGGTTCAACGAGTGCCAATAATATAACATTTTGAAATTCAGGAATTTTTTACAGTAATTGAATCAATAGAATAATTTTAATTATGAAAAATAGAGCGCAACTGAATATTATTGAATATCATATCGATCGAATTGAAATATAAACTAGAGCCTAAAAATGTTGTCGAATAAAACTTGACAACATTTTAGCGAGAAAAACCTTGACGAGTTCCGACTATACGAGCGAATGCAAAATTTCTAGTTAATGCATAACAAACATCAAACTACAAAAGCAGTGACTCATCGAATCGAATGGCTAGTGGCTATAGGTATAGACGATGAATCCCAGAATAAAAAAAAAGGAATATAGGGATGTAATGACCTATCACCTATCTATTCACTGTAAAATAATTGCAATTCATTTACTTACAATTGTCGAAGTAGGACGTGCATTAATCTGTAGGCCATCATCGTCGCCGATGGGCTCGACGAATTGATCCTCTCGACTGCTGGTAGGGCCCATTTCAGCGCCACCGGGCGCAACAAAATCAAAATGACTGGCCTCTTTTTTAATGAAAAATTTTAATACTTGCGAAACGCGCACAATGAGAGGATCTTGATGGTGCACTCAATTGTTCGAGCAGCCCTTGTCCAACACTGATAGATCCTCGGCGCTCCACGAAAAAAACCCTCCTTACTCGCCTCGCCCTATCATCAATTATGTTAAATCTTCCGAAATTGTAGCACCAGACCTTCCAGGTCTCTCTATCATCGCCAATAATGACGTTCATTGCATTGTTAATGATGCCAACAATTACTTGAAAAACAAAATCACTTCACTTAACTCGTCGGTTCCACAATGAAAATTTAACTCAGGGCCAATAATTTTAAACTATTGATTGATTTTATTCATTTTATTGTGATGATGTGATTTTGTTTGGTGGTATTGTTTGAATTTTGGAATTTTGGAATTTTGGAATTTTGCAAGTGGTGTAAAATAATCTGCAGGTGATCCCGCGGTTGGGTAGCGCCGCAGCGCCCCGGGATCAATAAACCGACGCCTACCGTCGCCGTCTATTCCTTCCTGACGTCCTCGACACCCAGGCTTTTCCACGAACGTCTCACAACGCTCCCCCACCACCATGTAATCCAGTGCATCTGCTGGGCACGCGCCATCTCTCGATGTTAGCGGCATTGTCGTCACGTCAGTTCCAGTTCAATAATAAAGACGATAATATTGTCCTGGTGGATAATTTATTTTCAATTTAATTGCATTTAGCCTAGCTGTAAGAGCACTTATTCATATCGAGTATATGCAAGAGAATTGCAGGGGGAAGGGAAATGAATACATTTTCTTGGATTTTAGGTGATTTTAGTTGATTATGAAATTGGACTGGACACACCCGCTCGACTGGTCGATAATGATAATCCTTAATGCAATTGGTCTCACCAATTTTACCAATATGATCATATAGTTACTCTTAGTTGAAAAAATTGTTGAGCAGGATCTCAAATAAGGTACTTTAAAGTACTTGCGGCGATCAAAGTTCTTACTTTTACGAAAAAATTTAATTTTATTTAGCTAAGGGGTAAATAAACAACACTTGGTCCCTCAAAACAATGACTGATTGATTATCAATTATCAGATGACATGGTACTTATAGTATCTGCTGTGGCATAGAATTTTTTCATGTTCGACAAGATGCCACTGGCAGCCTCGGAAATTCGTTCGTCTGAGGAGATTATCAATTGTTGGATTTTTATGACTGGCAGGAACTGCAGGAGCCGATCGAATATTCCAGAATCTTTTAAATCGTATGTGATGGACTGAATTATTCGAAGGGAGTTGAGTTGGATTTCTGGGGATTGGTCCAAGCAGTAAGTTACTAATTCGTGGACTTTTAAGCTTATTAAATAGGACAGGCCTGAACAGTTCAGGCTGACGTTGTAGAGGATCATGAGCATCAGTCTAAGGGGAGAAGAGAAAAAAAAAGTTGAATAAAAAAAAGAAATAATAAAAAATTTGTGTGTGATTTTTTTATTGCTTTTTTGTTTTTGGCTCATTTTGAAAAACTCACCTCTTCAGAGGGTCTCCAGAGATCAAGGGCAGACCTGGGATAGATAGAACAATCAGCTTAATCAATTCTTTTCCATTCTGCTCGTGGCTGATCAAAAATTGTCGCCCAGTGGAATTGGAGGATATGTTTGTGACAGTGCCCATGAGGGACATCATGAACTGATACTGCTCCTCTTTCATGTCGGGGAACTTTCCTTCAAATGTCTGGATAAATGATTCCAGTGCTGTGTTCGTGATTGATAACAAATCTTTGAGGTTTTGTCGATTCTAAAAAATTGGGTAGACAAATTTCATTTCATTTCTATTAAAAATTCTATTCAATAGAAGAAATTAGTAGAATTTCATCTTTTTATACAGAAAAATAGGCAAATTTTTCTACTGATTATTGTGAGATATTATCCAATTCCATTTTCAAATCAAATAATAATAGGAACAAGGATTCATATTCACCTCGTTGAGCCAAAGATCCACTTGTGGCGATGATCTTGACGATTTCCATATTAAATTTCCCAATACTGCACCCAAATGTGTGCAGAATGTCACTTGACCAGCAGACTACAACAGAAATAATCATTAAATGATGATTATTCCATATATTATTTGCATTTTAAATAGTGAATGAAAAATGAATTACTTCATTAGCTAGATGACGAAGTTGTTGCTCCAAATTCTCCACCTTCTTTTGCTCAGTCTCAAAATGATACACGAGTTCCCCACAGCTCGTCTCCAACTGTTTAATTCTCTTCTCACTAGCTAGAAAATTCAATAACAATTTCTTCAATTCATTCAATGATCCTTTTTAATCTTATACTAATAAAAATGTAGCATTAAAGTACCATTCTTAGCTTCCACGAGGGGACCAATCACTGAGTAGGCTTTATCACGCATCTCATCAATTCCCAATTTCAATTTTTCAAATTGTCCATTATCAATCAACAATTCTGGCATGTCATTGATATATATCGCTAGTTTCTTCTGAGTCTTGATAAATTTCTCCAGCAGATGATTCTGAAACAGATTGGTTATGCATATAGCTGCGATGAGTTGCAATTGACATATTTGTCGTGTTATAATAGCTAGGAGAATAATAACATTTTTAATGAAATAGTAATAGGAATAATTCGACGAGTTGTTTTCCATCTACGTACAACTTGGTCAGAAGTATTTCTTCTTCTTCCCAGCAGCATCACTGAATCTCCACTCGTACTTAATCCTCCATTCCTCTCCATTCCCCTTCCATTGTCTGTCATAACTGGAATATGAATGCCCTCCCTCCCTATGTTTTGCACTTTTGGTTATTAACCCTCAAAACAACGGATAAATGCTCCAAAAGGATTGATAAACGTTTCACACACAACCGCAAGCGCGTTTGATTGTCGAGTTTTGATAGGCCTGCCTCTACATCTCTCCCGCCAAATAACAACCGCTATATATATGTCGGACACATACCGATGGTTACCGAAGCAGGCAGGCCGGGCAGGCGACAGCAGCAGCAACAGCCAATCCAAGTGCGTTGAACGCGTGGCGTCTTAACGATAGATTTGTGAACGCCATCGACAATAATCGACTCCTGTGTCTCTCTGGCATCTCTGGACTGGAATTCTCAGCCGCTTGCCGCTCGGCGTCCGTCCATCGGCGTCTATGCGATGGATGCAATGTAACGTATACTACACAAGCAATGTAAAAAAAAAATACTCACTTTAATTATAACCTCAAGTGGTACTTATCGTACGAAAAGAATAATAATACACATTCGCATTAGTAGTGCATAAAAGGATAGTAGTGCCGCGCGCGAGCAGTGCGACTCTTGATTATTCAATAGTAGTGTGAGTAATTATCGTTCTAGCAATCATTTGCCTTTTTCCCTCGCAAAGCAGGCGAGGAGAGAGTTTAAGTGATATTGATATTGCTCCAATCCTTTATACATATATGATGAAACACTGCATTTGCATTCTTCACCCCCTGCTCGACAACAACAACAACATATCTTAATGAGATTATATTCTATTTATATTGGGAGATGAAAATGCACATTTAACCTCCAACTGGCTATTAATCAAGTGTGTTTAATAAAAGCGTCTCTCATTGATTTTCAGATTTTAGAGGGGAGTTATGAAGTTTTCTGAGGGTGAGGAAGTGTTGGCCAAGCCACCAAATTCTGAGGATTATCAGAAAGGAACGGTTGTTAGTGTTAGAGGGGATAAATACAGGATAGTCTTTGAAGGAGGTGCTGAGATGAGCATGCATGAGGAGGATATTCAGGTATTGAAGCATTCATTTATTTATTTTACAAGGAAATGTATTTTTAATATGGTCGTTTGTAAGGAAAAATGTCCATTTGAATTGCAGCCAGATCGGCCCTCTCGCAGTTCCGCAAGAACAACTCGTGCTCGTGGACGTAAGAGTCCCTCAAGGAAGTCCCCTAGCCGTCAGTCCCCAAGTCGAAAATCCCCCAGCAGAAAGTCACCGAGTAGACGGTCCCCCGCACGATCTCCAACCTCAAAAAACCGTAAATTAACTCGTAAAATTATCCAAGATCGAGATGAAGATGAGAAAGAGTCCTCGAGTGTGAATTTTAGTGAGACTGATCAGCTTAGTGAATTCATTCCCCTGCAATCTCGCATGAGAGATGCTGCACCTGCTGCAGCAACCAGAAGATCCACAAGGATTTTGGCCATGAAGAGCGATCGAGTTGTCTCAACAAGATCTATCGATCGAGCAGTTTCCCTCCCAGTGGAGAGAAAAATAATGTACGAGTACCTCACTGATAACAAAGAGAGAGGATTTTCAGTGCAGAGGGATCAGGACCTCCAAAAATTGTTGCATTACGAGGAGGAAGCACTTCCTGACTCTTCGACAACTGTTGAAAAAGTCAACAAGGACAAGGACAAGGAATTGGAATTGGAACGCGTGGGAAAACCGCAGGAGTGGGGCGGTTGGTTTGGAGCCTTGTGCCTTACATTCATTCTACCGATCTCAATAATCTTACCACAAGTTGCCTGTTACAATAACAAATGTAGCAACACTGTTGGCTTTCGTCTGCCAACAAAATGGCATGTCTACTTGAATCTCAATGCCACATTGTATTACACTGGATTCTTGTTGTTTGTGGCTATTGGATCGTTGTTACCTGTTGGAAGAGTCGTTGATGGACAACAGAATAAGACTGGACGACTGCAATATCGAGTCAATGGCTGGCTCACTGCAATAATTTGTTTGGCTGGAATGGCCATCTGCGAATATCACTTCAATTATCGAGTCAGTGATTATATTCTTCGTTCTATTCTCCAGTTGGCGGTCAGTGGATGGATTATTGCAACTATTCTGGCAATAATGTTGTATATTAAGGCTGGAAGGGCTCCTGTCGCTGCTCTCAATATTTATGGCTCCACGAATAATTTGATTTATGACTTTTGGCAAGGGAGGGAGATCAATCCTAGGATTGGTGGCAGGCTCGATATAAAAACTGTGCTTATACGATCTGCTATCATTGGGGCACTCATCATCAACTCGGCTATTGTCCTTCAGAGTCTAGCTCAAATCGATCCAGTTACATCGGCGAAGAACGCTAATGCTACTGTTTTAGTCGTCACTGGACTGCAGATTTTTTATTGTCTCGATGCACTTGTCTTTGAGGCAACTTCACTCACGTCTTTTAGGGTCATGTATGAGGGGACTGGTTATATGACTTGTGTTGCTAATTTACTGCATCCATTTTTGATGACCCTGGTGACGAGATACGTCTATTATCAAAAGTCAGTGGTTAATGACATCAATTCTTGATTTGTTACTTGTTGATAATTGAATCGACAAATTTTTAACTTATCTAGTTGTTTGTTTTTTGTTTTTTTTTTCAGTCTTCACAAATCACCTTATGTTTTGGCTGCTTTGAGTTTCTCCTTCTTCATGGGGTATTTGATTTATCGTATGAGCAATAATTTGAAGGATGAATTCAGGCGGAATCCATATTCAGCTGCAGTCTCGAGTAAGAATTGTTTGAGTATAATAAAATCCGAAAATGAATTGATAAATAGGAGCGACTATTTATCAATTCAATTATTTAAATGACTTTTTGAAGAGGACTGGAAAAAAGAAGTTTAAATTTCTAACAGAAATATAATCAGGCATTTTCAGGTATAATATTACGATCATTCTCTTTAGTTAAATTTGTGTTTTTTTTATAATTATAGATCTGGAGACAATGCTGACCCCTCGAGGAAAGAAACTCATCATTTCTGGTCTTTGGGGCCAAGTGAGACACCCCAACTATCTTGGCGACGTCATAATGAACTGGTCAATCGCTGGAGTATCGTTATTCACCCATGAGATTATCCCTTACTATCCTGTACTGACCCTCACCCTGGTGCTCATGCACAGAGCATATCGTGATCATGTTCGTTGCAAAACGCGTTACGGCACAGCCTGGTCGCAATATTGCTGCCAGGTGAGAGCACTCATCTTCAAACGCATTTATTGAACATACATGAGAAATTGTAAAAAAAATTGTTATATAATCTCCTGCAATCATCAAGACTCACTTTGAATTGACTTTGAGTCTGTGGCGGCCCTTTTCAAAACCAATCATTTTAGACACCAATTGACAATTATTTTTTCAATTGTACAAATTTTCAATTTTCTCAATTTATAAGTGGGTTTATATATATATATCTATTTCTTTTTCTCACTTTGTGGAGCTTTTACCAACACCTGATGAATTTTCAAATTAGAAAAATGCATAATGACAAATGTAACTGTCAAACTTTTAAAGATAAAGTTGAAGATATTTTGTAAAATTAGTGTTAATAAGAAGTAAATAATGAAGCAACAAAAAGACATGTCATTATATTATAATAAGATAAATTAATAAGTTTTATACCTTTATATGTGTCACAATGACAATGAGTATGACGATATGAAATCATTGTATTGTATTAATAAAATTAATTTTTGGTAAAAACATGACAAATGATACTGCGAATGGGATATATATATATATATATATATATATATATATATATATATATATATATATATATATATATATATATATATATATATATATATATATATATATATATATTGATAAGTTGATGAGGTGGTATATGTGTTTGTTTGCGCCATCTGTGTCTGTTGCGCCACTCGCGGCGCTCCTCCTCCTGGAGATCATCAACGCGAGTCGAGTAATATACTAATATAAAAAGAGAAGCTGCCAGAAAGTAGCGTAGTATACACTACTAGTGTGCACTAGTGTGAATGTATCTGGACAATATGCCACGAGGATGAGGTCGTAATAATGGATTAGCTGTTTTGTGAGAAATCAAACTAATAACGGGTAAATCTTTCCATAAAAAATATCTCCTTAAACATGACGGTTCAAGAGACGAGGAACTTGATAATATATGCGTCACGATCGGAGTCACGAGTAGTCATCATTCATCAATAGTCCCCTGAGACTATTAATTGTAATATGCATGGGAATAAGTCGCGCGATTAATCATCACATTTTGTTTCTTCAAAATTAGGTCAGTTGGCTGGTTTATTTATTTGAGTTGGAGAATTGTATAGATAACAATGGGGAAGAGGAAAAATCGTCAACCAGACGTCAATGATGAGGCCAGTATGCATTCCTCAGAGTCAGGGGAGGATACCAAATCAGGTTAGAAACTTTATCATTAATTTGCTCAATATGATATTTAACAACATGACTGGTGAAAATTTTCAAATTGTGATTTTACTTGGATAGATGGCCTAAAATGCCCTCACATCGTTAAGTCGATCAACGGTAATGCTCTTCGTAAGAGTCTAAAGAAGAGTGGAATCAATATTGAGTGTACGACATGCAGTAAAGTTGATGCCAATAAAAGCCAAGTTATTGATGACGATGAGGTAATTTTAGATTTAATAATTTCCTTATTTATCCAAACATTTCAGTAGTCAAGTGGTAAACGGAGATAAGTGGACTTATCTCCCAGTTGAGTTTCTGAGGAATATTTCCGATTTCCGAATCTAAGGGAGATAGCGAAATTTTCGTAATTATATTTGTTGTAGCACTCAATCGGCTCCACAAAAAAAAGGTTATAACAGAAAATATTGACTTATCTCCCTTTAACACTTCGCTACTGATCTGCATCGAACCTTTTAAGATTTTTGTCACAAAAATATCATCAAATTTATACATTCTAATGAATGAATGCTGAAAATATAATTTTTTTTCTTGCTTTTCCGCATTGGAGTGCTATACATACTACTATGCACTAGTTAATAATTTGAAAAAAAAATGAAATAATTTGCAGTGTATAATTACGCATTTGTAGATGTCACCATTAACCCAACCACTCTGGATATGTTTGAAATGTGGCCATCAAGCTTGTGGAAGGCTTCTCAACAAACATGCGGAACATCATTTTAAAACACCTCATAGTGATTCTCACTGCCTAGCTATCGATACACATAGCTGGAGTATCTGGTGCTATGAGTGTGAGATTATGGTCAATGCTGACAGTAGGTTAGTTGAAAAAAAAAAAAAAAAAAAAAAAAAA